AAGGTTTATGTTTATGTGGTTCGTTCTTCTTCTATTGTGGCAATACGTAAGCTGGCGTCCCTTATGGCAGCTTGCCTGTGCCACTTCCGCTCCTTCGTCGCCGCCCTTCTTGGGGGGGCCTCTGGCTGGGCCAGGACAGGTACTACGGTTAAGTCGGGCCTGTCCCTCTATAGGAGGAATAGCCAAAAATAGTAAGACGTATAGTCTGGGGGCGTTTTTTTGTGTATGTTTTGATTAGTTTGGCGTATGTTTGATTATTTTTCATTTTACGCCCAAAATCCGCCTGTATGGGGGACATGCCCGACCTAATACTACGGTGTGCCCCCACGGAAGTTCTCCGATCCCCCGATTCCAGTGACACGCAGGACCTCTGGAGCGTGCTTTTTTATTGCTTGGGGCATAATGGGCACTATAGCCCCCGCCACCCCCTCCCCCCCCTATGACGTAACGCGTCCTTCCCAGTGCGCTCTGGGCACTGCCGCCGTGCGCACGGCGGGGGGGAGGCGTTACATTATACCCCCCCCCTGGCCTCTCCCCCCCCCCGCAATGCCCAGTATCGCCGAAAATGAAGAAACGCGCTCATGGGTACTACGATGTGCCCCCACGGAAGTTTTCCCATCCCCCGATGATCCCAGTGACACGCAGGATCTTTGGGGCACTTTCGGACCTTCAAAAATCGATGAAGACTGTGCCCCAAGATTTCTAACAACGTGAACTCTGGTGATGTGTGTCTACTGCATCGGTGTTTGTTCTCTTCCGCCAGGCATGCTCATGTGGAGGCTGCAGACCGACGAGACTCGGAGGCTGCCCCTGATCGTCGACTTCGTTCCCCTGTTCGCCCTGCCCTGTCTGGTCTACCTGCTGGCCGTGCACTTCGTGGTGCGCCACGTCTCCCCGAAGGCCGCTCTGGCGCGGTGGGTCGTGCTCGCCGCCGGCTTCGTCCTCGCGATCGCCCTCCAGGCGCTGTCCATCTGCGTCTTCCTGAGGGCCACCGACGCGGTGGGGTGCTCGTGGGTCGCCGCGCTCACCCCCCTCTGGGCCACGCTGGCCTTCCTGCAGCTGCTCCTCTGCTTCCTCGTTCCCGGCTTCATGCTCTCCCGCGCGCTGGAGCCTGGGAGGCGGCCAAGGGGGGGGGAGGCGAGGACCGGGGCCGCACGGGGACATCACGGCCTGGGACACGAGATCTCCCACAGATCTCCTGCCCCTCCTCGTATTCCTTCGAGACGCCCTCTGGTCCCTTGGCCCCCCCGCGTCCGCGCACATGCCTCGGGCCATGTGATGCGCCAAACCTGACATCCGCCGATCCGATGTTGCAGTCCTCGGCCCATGAGGCCCCGACACCTTCCCCGCGGGTGATTTTTCGCCCCGGACCCGTTCTTCATGGCCCCGGGGCCCGAAAACCGCCCCGAAGAGCCGAAATTGAGCAAAAAGCGGAACCATTGGTTGAACAACTCATATTGTCGGAGATTTCGGAGTCGTCCTGTTCTTGGCCCCCCCTGATTTCGAATCCGCAGCAGGGTGGCTGATTTCCGGATTTGAGGAAGTGTCGGACACGCACCCCAAACGATGCGAAACAGTATGGCGGAAATGCCCGCCTCAGGATAAGTAGGACGGATATGTCCGCAAAGGTATGGCGGAAACAGCGACGGCAAAGTGGGGCGGAAATCGGCATCACAGCCGTTTGGAAAGTGGGGCGGCAAGTTCCGCCCTATTTGCGAATTCGCCCAAAGTACGGCGGGTCCGAAGTCGGGGCCTCCGCTTCTTTCAATCGGTTCCCTGGCCATTGGCTCCCCCCTTCATCCGCGCACATGCCTCTGACCATGCTGATGCGCTAGCCCTCTCCCTAGAAGTACCCCGAAGTCCGGGCCCTTTCCCCAAAGCTTGTTTTCATCCCGAGTCGTTCTCTGACGATCCCAGGGCCCAGCGAGGCCCCCCAGAGGCCGAAATCTGCCAAAAACGTTCCTGTCGTAATTACCTTCACTCCGTTCAGCGATGCGAGCATGGTTCGTCGTCGTCGTCGTCGTCGTCGTCGTCGTCGTCGTCGCCGCCACCCCGAAGGAGCACCTCGCCGTGGCCCTCGCGGCGCTCTGGGCCTCGGCGCTGTCCCTGCTGCTGGCCGCCCTGAAGCTCGACGGCCAGGCCGAGGTCGGCGTCACCCCAACATATTTGTACTGTACGGTAGGTTCGCGTCGTGCCGACCAGCGGCGACCCCGCCGCTGGCGTTCAAGGTTGAACGCCGCCAGTGGCTCAGAAGCGGCCTGCATGGAACGATCGGGCGATCGAAAAACCGCCGATCGTTCAAGGTTGAACGATACGCGCGGTGTCAGAAACCGACGCCAGGGTCGTCACGACACGAACCTGCCGTATGCGCGTCGCCCCCCCCCCCGGGGCGACGCGCACACCGAGAAATCTTGTGGTATATGCGTCTTGGCGGGCGCTTTCTGGCCACACCGCTCGGGAAACGATCTACTGCAAGATGGGTATACTGTATGTTCGGGTCGGACGCGCGCCTCCAAAGAGGACATCTAGTACTAGTATGTCTCTGTGCGTCCCACGAGGTCGCGTGGTGGGCCGCCCTGCTGCCGCTGGCGGGGAAGGGGGGAATCGAAGGATAAGAGGAGGAACAGGTACCCATACCGGAGGAGATCATGGGAGGAAAAGTCAAGGGAGGAAAAACCACCCAGACCGGACAATTGGCGTTTACTAAACGGCCCTGGGCGTTTATTAAACAACCCTGCCCTGTTTGATTCCTTCTTTGGGCGCGTTTACTAAACGGCTTCGCGTGTCGGGGTGGTTATTATCGGGGTGGATTTTCTGCCTTCAAAAAGGTACCGGCATTGATCGGATTGAGCGAATTGATCGAATTCGGGGGTGGACAGGAGACAGGAGCCCCACCCTGACACGTCGATTAGTGAATTGCCCGTTTTCGGTGCTCGAGATGGCGCCGCGGCCATCATTTTCCAGGCTTGAGCCCGTCAGGTTTGGGCCCGAGGTCGTTTTCACTAGACCACGTTTTACTAAAGGGGGTTCTGTCCATCCCCGACGAGTGAATATCAGAAAGCAGATGAAAAGGGAATACGAATCGAAGAAGAACGCAGTGGAGGCCAGTCCACAAGAAACCTTCCACAAGAAACCCAACCCTGAGACCCCAGGACGTCCATTGATTTTTGGTGTGGGAACGTCGCGCTTTCCATTGCAAAACCATCGACACCCAAGAAACCCAGGGCACCCTGGAGGCAAGCAGCGTGTTTCTTGGCATGGGTTTCCATTGTAGTCGAACTGATCAGAGGAGGACAAGGTACCCATAATGCTACACTTTGCCCGTTTTCCCCTTTTTGGGCCTCCTTGGAATCCCTCGTCGCCACGGCTGGATTCGAATCGAAATCCTGGTCAGAACGCACCCCGGGAGAGGTCTGGGGAGTAGCGGTATCGGTACCTTTTGGTTTCCCCAATTGACGGTTGGAGTTGGCTCGGGGTCTGAGGTGGCCCAGCTGTGGTTCTGGCCAGCAGGAAGGGCGGGCAGGTTCGAGGTTCTGAATTCAAGCAGGTGTTGGTTGGTCCTTTTTCGATTCCCCGGGGCCCTTTTCGGAACCCGGAACCGTCGAGAACGGATCCTTGGTGAAAAATTCCACCAGATGGCACCCGGGAGGAGTCTGGGGATTGGCTTCATCCCCCCTCCTGGCCGAGAACACACTTCGTCCCCAGTCAGCTGCAATGTGAACACAATTAGGCAGCGAGTGAGAGGGGCAAGTGAGAAGGAGAAGGACTTCCCAGAATGCGGCGGGGCTTCTCAGAAGCCCCCCGGCCTTCTTAAATATTCTCTGTGTCTTCGGAAAGGTTCTGAAAACTTGTCAGAATGACGGAGGGCTTCCGAGCCTTTTGAGAAGGCCCGTTCTTTCTCATCTCCGCCCTCGGCTGGCCGCCTAACAACGCGGCAGGGAATGCATCAGATAATCTGGCAGTCAAGGCGAGACGACATTCCTACGCTTTTCGAAGTTTGATGCTCTGCCCAATAACTGCAGAACGAAAAACTCAGAGGAAGAAAGCTCTGACTTCAGATCCGCCGCACTTGGTCTGAATCTACAACTTTTAAAAAAAAAGTGCATCGGGCATGCATCCCAGACGATGCGAAAAGGTGGCTCAAGACTCTCTGGCTCAAGCATAGTGGCTCAAGGGGCTCAAGACACGCATACACACATCCCTGCCGGGCTCACGCTATGCCGCGCCGGAACAATGCAGCTGGACGAAGGGCGAAGGCGGCGGGTGCTGCGCCTCAGTTGGTGGAGCCAGGTCCCGACCAGGACCAGGCCGCTGACGAGACGGGCGTGCACGCAGACCTGGCCTTCGGCGCCGCTGGCGCTGCAGGGGGCGGTGTGCCGCCCTGCGGATCAGCCGGCGTGGCAGCCGGCGTGGCGGCCGATGCCTCCACGGCCGCCCCGCCGGGCTCTCTGGACTTCGGGCTGGAGCTGGTGTCCACGGCGCCGCCTGCTCTCTGGGAGGACGGGTCCAGGGAGCTGTCACAGGAGGAGCGGCTCGCCCGCGCGGCTTGCCTGAAGGAGGCGGGCAACGCCAGGTACCGGGCAGGGATTGTGCCGACGCGGCGCGCGACTACCACGGCGCCCTGGCGCTGCTCGGCTTCGAGGGCAGGCCCGAGGAGGACCAGGGCGCATGGGCCGACGTGGCCCATCAGGAGTCACGGGAACGGCTGGTGTTGGCATGCTTCCTGAATCTGGCGCAGTGCGAGCTGCGGCTGGAGCAGTTCGACGAGTCGGCCAAGCGCGCATCGGCGGCGCTCGAGCTGGACCCGAGCAACTCCAAGGCGGTCTACCGTCGCGGGCTCGCGAGGCTCGGCGCTGGGCAAGCGGAGCTGGCCCTTGGGGATCTGCTGGAGTCCGCGCGGCGGGCTCCCAGGAACGCGGAGATCCGAGCCAAGCTCCAAGAGTGCCAGGGCAAGATGCGCGCGACGGAGATTTCCGCGAGGAGCCTGTTCGGGGGCCTGCTCGGCAGGGGATCCATCTACTTCGAGAGGGCGGCGGCCGCGGCCGGCCGGCGGCGGCCCGCCGGCGCCTCGGGCGACGATGCCCTTGGCAAGGGCCCCGTCCAGGAACCACGCAGTGAGAAGAGCATGGACAGGGACGACGAGGACAACGTCATGGACGACGACGGCTACGACACGCCCGCGGACTCGGACGCGGAGGGCGATGCCTCGATTGACAAGCAGCGTTCAGCAGCTGATGGCTTCTGCTCTGACGCTGAAACGGCCACCGGGGTCCCGGAGGGGGCCCCAGCAGCTGCTACCACCATCGGCACGACCAGAAAAACGACGCGCAAGAGCCACCGCAATCGCGGACCATCCTCGGGCGGGAGGGGCAAATCATCGATCGAGGACGCCACGGAGAACAACGACGAGGCTGAGGATGAGGAAGACCCCGACTGGTCTCGCTTAGTATTCGTGGTGAATCAAGAGGCTGAGCAGTTGATGGTCACGAACCCCGAGCAGCCATTGGAGTGCGCCCTCCTGCGGGCGCTTTGGAACCACGAGAAAGAGTTCCCAATGGATCTCATTAGTCGTTATCAATGTATGGTGGCTGAGGGGCTGGCGCCGGCGGACGACGACCTCACTGAGGCCCAATGGTGGTGCAAGTATCAGCCATCGGGCTGGGACTGGTAGGCCGAGTTCGCTCCTTCTGTATGTGTACATACTTTCAACATCGTCATTTCCTCCTCCTCCTTCCCCTCCTCCTCCTCCTCCTCCTCCCCCTGCCTGGGTGTGAGCACCTCGGGCACGCAGCGTTGCCCGATAGCGCCGAGAGCCGGCCGCAACGAATCCGAGGCATGCACTGTAGGCGTCGCCCGGATTGCCGTTACGACGTGTTTTTTTTGTTTTGCTTCTTCCCCGCCCCCGTGTCGGCCCGGCCGCCCCGCATGGCGACGCGCCCCCATGCGGCCTGGTCGTCCGCACCCCCGCTGCCCCTTTTCCGCTCCTGGCCCTCCGTCCCCTCCCCCTTCCTCTCCTCTCTTTCCCCTCCCTCGGGGTGCGGACTCTCCTGGCCTATGGGGGTCTGTGGCCCTGCCCGGGGGCGCGGGGCGCGCGGGGCGCCTGGCGCATTGGGCGGATCGGGAGGCATCCCGCGGGCGGGCAGTGCCTTCCTAGCCGGAGGCCCCCTCCCGAGTCCGAGCTGTTGTCCACTGCAGCTCGCACGAGCGGTTATCAACGATATTGCCGGGCGCGGGTACACAGGACCAGCTCTGGCCGAGGTACTGGTTGGAGCTCTGTTCAGGTGCTTCGCTCCGGCCTAATTCGGTGCCAGTCCAGGGGATTGTCTCCTTCTGCCTCTGAGACTCCGTCGGCTGCCCCCGGGCCGCCTGCTGAGTGTCAGAATTGGACGGAGCATTGCTATTGCTCTTCCGCCGTCGCTGCGGAGCCGCCGCCCGCGTACCGCGGGTCGCCCTTCTTGGCCGTGGCATAGGGGCATGGCGGCCTTTGGGCACCTCCGCCGCGACGCAGCCTGTGGCGGAGGTTGACCACATGATAACAACATCTTCGAGTTCACTGAGTTCCTCGGCGCACGACTTCACTCGTTGAGGTCCTTGCGATTTCGCTTTGTAAGCGATTCCAGCATTTCCCCTCTTCTCCTCCTCCTCCTCGCCTCCTCCTCCTCCTCCTCCTCCTCCTCCTCCTCCTCCTCCTCCTCCTCCTCCTCCTCCTCCTCCTCCTCCTCCTCCCTCCTCCTCCCCCTCCGCCGAGTCCGGGGCTACGGCAGAGAGAGCGGCCATTTATATAAGCCATCTTTCGCTGGACAGCCCGTCTTTGTGGCCAGGCGCCCCTGCTCCATTCGAGGGCGGCTGCATTGATGTTTTTGCGCTGCTTCGTTCCCCCCTTGTCACCCTCTTCTTCTCCTCCTCCTCCTCCTCCTCCTCCTCCTCCTCCTCCTCCTTTGCCCTCTCCTACTCGCGGTGGGCGCCAGCGCGAGTAATAGTTACGCACGCTTGAGTTTCCGATAAGTAGCGAGGTATAGCTGCCGTGCGTACTCAACTCAGGTCATGGGCCCCCGTGCGGGCGTAGAAATCTGCAGTCCAGCGAGATTGTTTCGCGTGGCGCATTCCAGCATGCGCGGTGTGCCGTTTGTCGCAGAGTGCGCGCCCATGCCGCGACCTCGGCACTGCACTGAGTAGAGACTTGAGATTTGAGGGATGGTGTTCATCGGCTGCCCGCGTCCCCTTCCGCCCCCCATTCCCCCCTCTCCAAAATATGCGCTGGAGAAAAAATCCGCAAAGGTATTGCAGAAACACCGACGGCAAAGTCGGGCAGAAATCAACGTCAGAGGATATTGAAAAGTATGACGGACATTTGGCGCATCGTTCAAAATACGGCGGGTCGGAAGTCAGGGTGGAGGTTTGATTCGAGCTTTTCGTCTGTTCTTCTTCGTCTTTCAGCATCGAGATGCCTTCCAGCGTCTGCGCCTCGCTGGCAGGGAGCCTTCTGGGGATGCCCTGATCAGCTATGGCCCGAAAACCACCACGGAATCGAAAACGAAAAGGCGTCAGAGTTGACCTCCTCCTCCTCCTCCTCCTCCTCCTCCTCCTCCTCCTCCTCCTCGAAAACCATGCCGCGACCCCTCCCTCATCTTCGCCTTTTGGGGCCTCCTGGGCGGGCACTCGTCGCCACGGCTGGATTCGCCTCGAAGCCTTGGCCAGAGTGCGCCCCGGCAGAGGTGCGGGACGTAGCGTTGCCGGTGCAAGCCCAGGGTACAGTCGGGGCGCTGAAGAAAGAACTCTTTTTGTTGGGGAGGGGCTCCGTGTTCCTTAAGTGTTTCACAGCTTGCCTCAGGTTTTCCTTAGGCTGTCGACGGGAAATCGAAGGTTAACTTATGGGAAACAAGGGGCCTCGTTCCTTATTTAGGGTTCCTTGGGTCAACGCCCCGACTGTACGTTCCCAGATCTCCGACGATATGTTTTCTTGTCAATCGGATTTCGGCCCTCGGGGGGCCGTCACGGTGGAGGCGTTTGTTGAGGAATTGTCCCAGGAGGCGCCAGACCCTGGAGGATTCCTCATCAAACGAGGGCGGCGGTGAGATCCATGGCCGATCCACGATTGGAGTCCCACTGGCTTCCAGAGCCTGGATTCCTCATCTAAGGGTTCCTTATCCAATGCCCACACCGCCGCAGGAAGAAGACGTGTACGCGCACGGGCCCAACGGGGCCCTTGAAGAGTTTTTGAAAAATGCCCACACCGTATCGGGTCGTCCCGGGGCAATCCACAGCTGATCCCGGACGAAGCGCCATCCCCGGGGAAGCGGTCGGGGCCTCCGGGGCCGTGGATCGAGAGATGCACTTCGGCGGATGTGAAGGGGGGCGTCGAGGCGAGAACGGCCTCAGCATGAACTCTCGGCGGTCCGCGCGGCTTTCTCGAATCGGCACTGGTCCTCCCCTGCCGCGCGGGGCGCGCCAGGGGCCTAATCGGCGGGGTCTAGCGCCGATCCACGAAATCCGCACGGGCTTCCGACAGTAATGTTTACCTATACGACTACCCTTCGGGCGACAAGGAAGCTGGCAGGGGGGAAAGAAGACCGACTGACAACAATTGCGATGACTGTGATGGCGATGAGATGGCGCTGTCGACCTCGCGAATTTTACCATTGATCTCACCATCGATCTCATTCTCGCTCTCGATATTGATCGCACTAGCGATCTCACAATCGATCTCAGTATCGAGCTCATAAGAGATTTCACTGTCGACCTCACGAGACACCATCGGGACACCACGATGGGGCACCCCCAGCCACGGCGGGGCACTCTCAGGCAAAGATCTGTTGTGATCGATCTCACTATCGATCTCACTCTCGAGCTCTCGATCTCACGAGATCACGATCGATCACGCAATCGATCTCACAACTGATCTCGCGAGCTTCCATCGAGACACCTCGGCGGGACACCCAGAGCCACCGTCGGGACACCCCGCGCCACCGACGGGGCACTCCGCGCCACCGACAGGACCCCGACGCGCCGCCGACGGGACACCCCGGGCCACAGCGCGCCAGGGGGGGGAGGGGCGGACAATCGGCTCCACAGCCCCTAGCCACAGCGGCATCATTCCTCTTGCGCGCCCGCGCAGTTTCGCCTCGCCCTCACTCACGACACGAACACGAAACCGAAACCGATTTCCCGGTGGGGGGTCCTCGGTTCCACTGCGATCTCAACCCCCAATTTCCGATGCCGCTTGATGTTCCTCAGGGGAAGGGGACGGGAGGGTGAAAGGAGGAGGGGGAGGGGAGGTTGGGCGGGGAGGAGGAAGGGGAGGGGCAGGACATGACATAACATGGCAATTCTGGGGGGAGTGGTAGAATTCAGCACGAAGGCACCTGAGGGGATGGACAGTAGGAGGTGAGGAGGGGGAGGTGGAGGAAGGACGGGGGAAGGGGGATCGGAGGAGGGCGAGGAGGGACGGGCGGAGGGCAGAGGAGGAGGAGGAGGAGGAGGAGGAGGGAGGAAGGGGGGAGGAGGAGGAGGAGGACGAGGAGGAGGAAGAGGAGGAGGAGGGAGATGGGGAGGGAGGAGGAGGAGGAGGAGGAGGAGGCGGAGGGAGATGGGGACGAGGAGGAGGAGGAGGAGGAGGAGGCGGAGGGAGATGGGGAGGGAGAAGGAGGAGGACGAAACACTCGAACGCTCATCCCAGCGACGCCAAACACGGGGTCGTTTTCACCGGCATTGGCGCGTAGAGTGCCCGCGTAAGGTCGCGCATGAGCGCCCTCGTCTCCACTGCAGCGCGGCACGCCGGCGGCCCGCGTGAGCTGCGGCGTAGGGTCGCTATGTCATTGTGCGTGAGACTGTTTCCTTTTCGTCGCTCATTTTGTTTTGGATACACATGGTTCATTTTTAAGTATTCGAAAGTTCTTTGATTTTTGTTTGGGGGGGGCAAGATCCTTTCATTTCTAATCGTTCTATCCTGGGCCTCTTCCTGGCCACTGGCCACTAGGGGTCCTGGAACAATCAGAAACGAACACAATTAGAAATGAGCACGGTTAGAAATGAACGACGTGTACACTCTAGCCGAACTTTCGGCGTGACTGTGGCAGGGCTGCGTGCTCAGCTCCCAGATGGCCGTCCACTCGGCGGCCACCGGCTCCGGGTTGCTTCTCATTCGCGGCCCAGGAGGTCCAGATCGTCTCCCCAGGGATTCTCTCTTATTCCCGCACCCGTTGCTATGAGTACTCGTGCAAGAGTGGGGATGGGAAGCGGTGCGACATCTGCGAAAATCCCAAACAGCACACCATTCCACAATCAAGCGCCCCGATGGCCCCGATGAGACCTTGCAGACACTTCTGCTCGCGCGAACGTCCTGGCCGACTATTTTGAAGATGTGCAGTGGCAAACCCGTTTCCCGAGGAAGGTTCTGTAGCCGCGTGCACCCATAGGCGATATGTTGCCGATCAGTACGGACGCGTTCAGCATGAAAGAAATATTTTCTGCATTCTGGAAGCTTCGACGAGGGAAATCTGCTGGACCTGACGTATCCCGCCAGATTGTTGGAAATGTGTGGACTCTGATTGGGCTGCGCGCGCACTGCTACTTCGCATGTGGCAGAAGTGCTTGGGAGACAAGTCAATACCTTCATCCTGGAGGCGAGAGAATGTCATAGATTGTTCCCCAAAAATCGCCACGCCCGAGAATTACCACAGACCGATCTGAGTAATACAAATGGGGTGCAACAAATTTATTGGTTGCGGTGCTGAATCCCGCATGCGGGGCTCGCAATTTGGATTCCGCCCTGGGCGTGGGACTGCAGATGCGTTTCTCCGACGTATTATCGACGCTGCGTTCGCGAACAAACAACAATGGTTTTCTTGTGGTGGATCTGGGCGAGAGCATTCGACCTACTCAAGCCCGACAGCAGCTGCGGTCCCTTATGACGCTTTGGCATACCTACATATCCGTAAGGGCTTCGCCCCCTGCCGCCGGCCCCCTCTCTCGGAGAATGGGCCATGGAAGAGCTAAGTCATGAGGCTTTGGCGCTGTCGTGCACCAGTATCGGAACTTCATGCGAGGCCGATTTGCAATCGGCAAAACCAACTGATCACAAGAGGGGTTACCACACAGGGCGATTGGTAAGACGTGTATGGTTTACGAGCTTGGTTACCACACCTTGGGATTAAAGGGCCGAGGGAGTACTCGCAGTTTGGGTTACCACGCCTTGCGATGGATGTGCGTGAGGGGTGGCACCGAATTTCAGAAATGTGGCAAATCCCCTGTGTTTTTGGACCCTGACCCCGCGGATCTGCGTGAGGGGTGGCACCGAATTTCAGAAATGTGGCAAATCCCATGTGTTTTTGGACCCTGACCCCGCGGATCTGCGTGAGGGGTGGCACCGAATTTCAGAAATGTGGCAAATCCCTTGTGTTTTTGGACCCTGACCCCGCGGATCTGCATGAGGGGTGGCACCGAATTTCAGAAATGTGGCAAATCCCTGTGTTTTTGGACCCTGACCCCGCGGATCTGCGTGAGGGGTGGCACCGAATTTCAGAAATGTGGCAAATCCCCTGTGTTTTTGGACCCTGACCCCGCGGATCTGCGTGAGGGGTGGCACCGAATTTCAGAAATGTGGCAAATCCCTGTGTTTTTGGACCCTGACCCCGCGGATCTGCGTGAGGGGTGGCACCGAATTTCAGAAATGTGGCAAATCCCATGTGTTTTTGGACCCTGACCCCGCGGATCTGCGTGAGGGGTGGCACCGAATTTCAGAAATGTGGCAAATCCCATGTGTTTTTGGACCCTGACCCCGCGGATCTGCGTGAGGGGTGGCACCGAATTTCAGAAATGTGGCAAATCCCATGTGTTTTTGGACCCTGACCCCGCGGATCTGCGTGAGGGGTGGCACCGAATTTCAGAAATGTGGCAAATCCCCTGTGTTTTTGGACCCTGACCCCGCGGATCTGCGTGAGGGGTGTCGATTTCGAGCCCCCCCAGCAATTCAGACAACGCGCCCAGGGGGTGCTAAAAATCCCGTTTGGGCCTCCCCCCCCCTCGCGCGGTCAATCAACTAGTTACAGTAACCAGCAAGAAGCAGAACTGTAACACTGGAAACTACAACCTACGACTGGTACAGGAAACTGCGAACCTCGCGCCTACAGCCTGGTGGCCCCACAAGGGGGCCGGCGGATTTGGTATATTGGCTGGCGCAATTGAGCTGTTCGGTTTTTCACCCTAGTAGGTCACACGGGCAAATCCACAGATGCACCGCAAGCAAGAACAGGTATTGCACAAGGGTGTCCTCTATTTCCATTTCTGCTTCAGGCCGAACCGTCGTAATGTACGGCGTCATGCCCCCCAACGCTTTCAAAACGTGATTCGCTACGTCTTGTATGCAGACGATTCGCTGTTGATCTCACGGAGCAAGCAGAACATACAAACCATGCCCAACGCCTTCGTCACGGAAGGGCGCAAGTATGGTCTCGAGTTTATTTGAGCAAAACGTTGCACATGCAAGTTTGTGCAAATCGTATCGCCGATCGCCCAAACGCAGACCCACCTGCAACAGTCTGGGAAGCGATTTACATGGGAGGAACCATGACGCGCGGTGCGAGAACGACCCCCGAACTTACCATAATATTGGGGGAAGCACAACTCATTTTCAAACAGTTATCGGAGATCTGATGGCGTCACACATCTGCTGGGTGGACGCAACATGCAGCGAATACGGTAGCTTAATTACGAGTTAGGCAGTTCGCAAGGTTCGCTGGACGATATATGGCTTTTGTGCGAAGACAGAAGCAGGCTAGATGCGTTTCACTGCCGGTGGCTACGGAGGCTTATGGGCATGCCGCATTCTGGCATATCGCGTGCTGTCATCGCGGACGTCCTGAACTGGACGTGCAGATCAACGCGCATGACAAAATATGGTGTCAGGTGGAACGATTTCTTCGGCATAGTGAATCGTATGCCGAACAAGCGGTATTGCAAATATTTTGGTGGAGCGCCGGCGGCGCGGTCGACTAAGACAACAGTGGAATCCAGTGTACACATTGACCCAACACCAATGGTGTCTGTGTGGGCAGGCCGCTGGTCTGCCCTCCTCCTCCTCCTCCTCCTCTTCCTCCGCCTCCGCTTCCTCCTCTTCTTCTTCTTGCCCTCGTCCCTCCACCGTCTCCTCTTGTTTTTTCGTTTCGCAGTCGTGGGGCGCTTCGTTTTTTGCTTCGCAGTCGTGGGTGTTGCGTTCCTTTTGTCTCCGCCTCGCAGTCGGTTTTCTGTGCACACGCAATACCTTCGCAATGCGTTCTCAGCATTGCCACGAAGAGTTGCCAACCACGCGTCCTTCCAGATGCTTGGCTCGCGGCGGCGGCGGCCGTGGCCGCGAACGCCCCCAGAGGGCCGAAGTCCAGGAAACACCGCTGGTTGAAACATCTGATCGTCAGAGGTCAGAGGTTCGGGAGGAGGGAGGAGGAAGAGGAGGAGAAGGAGGAGGAATAGGAGGAGTAGGAGGAATACGAGGAAGAGGAGGAGGAGGAGGAGAAGGAGGAGGAGGCGGAGGAGGAGGAGGAGGAAGAGGAGGGGGAGGGCGATCGTTAGGGTGATTCGACGCGACTCTGTTTGCGGTCTGGAGGGGTGGGGCAGTTTGCACACGGACCCGCAGGCGCGGCCAGGGTTCGGGCGGCGAGTGCGTTCGCCCCTGCGGTCGTAGGCACACTCAGGCGTCGGCGCGGCACTTCTGGGCCGAATGCCTGCGTTTTGCCAGGCGTCGCCTCGAATCGGAACTAAGCTCCGGGTCGCGCCGGCCTGGTGGGGGGCCCAGCACCAGGTCACTTCGAAGCCGGGGTGGATGATCAAGGCGGTTGGTGGCTCGGTGCGGCGCCGTGCTGACCTGCAGGTGATGGCCTGCCGCCTGAGCATCAAGATCATGCAGGCGCTCGCCGGCATCTGCGTCGCTGGCCGCAGCGGCGGGTGGGTTTTCGGTGACGCGTTTCCGCCAAGAGCTCTCCAGGGTCCCTCCCCCTCCTTCTCTCCCCGCCCCCTATGGCGGTCGGCGGTGCGGCTGGCGGAGCGGCGGCCGACGAACGTGGTGGTGGCTGCGGTGGTGGTTGCCGGCAGCCGATCTTGCTAGTTCATCCGCCCCGCGCCCAGGACTGGGCATAATTAAGGTTTCAGTAGCGCTGCGCGCCAGGCCCAGCATCCAGGGCAATGGCACCCGACTGCTCTCATGTGTGAGGGGGGGGGGGGAGAATGGGGGAAGAGGAGGAGGGGAAGGACGGGGGGCGCAAGAGGGGGGAGGAGGGGGAGGAGGGGGAGGAGGGGGAGGAGGGGGAGAGGGAGGGGGGGGAGGAGGGGGAAGAAGGAGGAGGGGAGGAGGGGGAGGAGAAGGGGGAAGAAGGGGGAAGAGGAGGAGGACGAGGAGGGGGGGGGAGGACGCGGGGGGCGGCGGAGGGCTTCGTGCTCAGCTCGCGGATGGCCGTCCGCTCGCTGGAAGGCAGCCCTGGGGCCGCGCTGCCGGACGCCGCGGGACTCATTGCCGCCGCGAACCTGGCATTGAGGCAGGACCCAGCGCGGCGCGCCCAGGGGGGGCAGGCAGAGGGGGCGACATGCGCGCGTCGTGAAGAAGTCGCGGCTTTGGACCTCCATGGGGCCTTCGCCGAGCCGCAGGCCCGTCAAACAATTGGCCGGGGTGGAAAACCAGCTCCAGGGAAAAGGTCGGGACTTGGGAGGACCGCGCCTCGGACAAGTCAAGACATCGCATGCCTGGGGAAGGCCTCCACGGCCTTCTGAGAGGCCCCCTGAGCCTCCCGCGGAGTCGCCGGACGGCGCCTGAGGAGGCGCGAGGCTTCTGAGGAGCCCCGCCGCCTTCTGACCCGGACCCCCGATGTCGTGATTTTTTCGCAACCTCGACCCCCAGAGGTCTGGACCCCCTCCCCGGAACCGGTTTTTCGTCCGGAGTCGTTTTTGACGCTCCTGAGGCCCAGAAAGGCCCACCGGAGGCCAGAAATAACGAAAAACTTCCCGTCGTGATTGTTTCACAGCGCGAGGGGGTCTGGGGAGGAGGCTTGCCCCCTCTCTCTCTCTCTGCCCCTTCACCCCGCGGCGCGCCGCCAGAGGACGGCGTCGTGGAGCTGCCCTGGGCGGCGGTGCTGCTCCCCGTGTTCCTCCTCGGGGGCGTCCGAGGGAGGGGGCCCGGAGCTCCGACGATGTGATCTTTCCCGCCGGCGCTTTGGTCATTGAGACTCCCCAAGACCAAGACAGCCCGTGGCAACTCGGCTGGCTCCCCTCTCGACAGCTCGCCCGGCGCTCGAGGCTCGTGCAGCCTGTTGGCCCTGGCAGTGACTCTTCTTCGGACCCTGTCGCCGGTGACAAGAGATATGCTCGCTATACCCGCGCCAGTGCAGCGCCCAGGTACCAATTCTATTCTGGCCCGCGGGGGCCGTTTCCGGTGCCTGGAACCATGACAGAACGGATCCGGGGTGCAGACCTGGACCCAGGGGAACCGTCGGGGGTTCTGGCGCCTCGGATCGAATATTATCATATCGGAGGAAGTCAGGTGTGGGAGGGGGGCCCGGGGGGGGGCAGGACTAGGGTCACAATGGGAAGAGCTACGGATACGGTGGGGATGTTGGTTAACCCCCAGCCTGCGCCTTCCGCACCTTCCGCGCGGAAGGTGCCGCCGCTGCGGCCTCGACGGTGGCCGCCGCTGCGGCCGCGGCAGCGCGGCAGCGCGGCACCTGCCGCGCAGAAGGTGCGGAAGGTGCAGGTCGAGGGAAGGAATGTGCCCAGGAGGCTTCAGACCTTGGCGGATTCCTTATCTGATGATGGCGGCGGTGGTATCCGCGGGCAAGTATCAATTGGTGTTCCGCCAGCTTTCAGACTGTGGATTCCCTTATCCACTGCCCTCACCGTAGTGCCAAAAGAGGAAGAGATACTGATGCCCGTTCCTCATCGCCACGGCCAGATTCGCCTCGAAGTCATGGCCAGAGCGTGCCCCAGGATGGGCTCCTGACCTTATGCTTCGTTCGCGCGTGGAACAATCGCGACGGAAGGGTTTTGTCAGTTTTCTACTTCCAGGGGCCATCAGCTCCTCCTCCTCCTCCTCCTCCTCTTCCTCCTCCTCCTTCTCCTCCGCCCCGGGACCGCCAGGATGAGACGCCGGTCCCGGCGAAGGGGTCCGCCGTTGCAACAGAAGCACGGCGCTGGAGGTCTGGGGAGGACCATACGGAGGTGTGGACATCATGGCCGGGGTAGTGAACTTACTTAGGTGTGGTAACCGTGTGGGAGTCATTTCAGGCATGGGTTGTTGTCTTCAACAGCTATTAACGTTTACCACTGCTTAGCTGCGGTCGCTAACAGGCGCTGATAGACACGAAGTTGGGCGTCAGTCGGCGCTAGTAGGCGGTAACAGGTGCTAACAGGGACATTCACAGACACCCACAGCCGATAATCGGGCGGATCCTGTCTTAAAGTCACTCACACGTGATGCATATGAGATGACCTAGATGTCCTGGCCTCCTCTCCTGCTTCTCTCCGCACGCCCCGTGGCTCCCCCCTCCCCTCCTCGCACGTGCCTCGGGCCACCATGCGATGGCGACCCCCCTCTTCCTGGCCCCCCCCCAAGATCCAACGCTGCAGCAAACATGCAAAAACACACACACACATAGACACACACACACACACAACCAACAAAAAACACCGCCAGATCCCGAGACTGAAGTCGGGCATGTCCCTCTACAGGGGGAATATTCAAAAAATATGAATCAATTTAGGGGTCTTTTCTCATATGTTTGAGTGTGTTTGAATCTGTGTTAAACTATGTGTCATGTGTCTTCGAAAAGCCGCCTCTGGGAGGACATGCCCGACCAAGCCCTAGACCCCATTCTTCTGCAGCAGCTTTCGAGCGAGATGGATCTGTGGTGGCTCCGCTGCCCGAAGTTGCCCGCTGTGGAAAAGATGCGTCGCCCGAGTCTCCCTGACTTCGGGCCCGTTGTAATTTGGTGGGTTGTCCGATGTTTTACAAAAGTGCTTGAGATGCACCCGAACGATGCGAAACAATAGGGCGAACATTTCCGCCTCAGAAGCAAAATGCGGATATTTCCGCGAAGGCACGGCGGAAACAGCGACGGCAAAGTACCGTAGAAATCCGCATCAAAGGAGCTTAAACAGTAGGGCGGAGATTTCCACCGTACTTCCCAGACCCCCGACGTCAGGATCTTTCCATGTCGTCGCCCCCCAGAGGTCTGGACCCATTCCCTGGGACCGGCTTTCCATCCTGAGCCGTTTTCTGATGGCCCCGGGGCCCGGCGAGGGCCCCTATATATATATATATATATATATATATATATATATATATATATATTATATATCAGAGGCCGAAGACGGCAACCAAAAATACCCCGTCGCGCCTTCGTCCACGGCGCCAGGTGGCCTGGCCGGGCGGGGCCAGGACAAATCCGTTCCAGACCGTTCTGGGACGCCCTCAGAGCGTTCCAGAACGCTCTGAGGAGGCCGCGGCGCCCGAGGCGTCCTCCACGAGCCGCCGGGATCTCGGAGATTCCCGCCTGTTCCTCGCCCCGGCTCGTCCTGGCTTCGTCTCCCCCGGAGCTCGAGATGGCCCAGAGCACGACGGAGCCGAGGCCGGGGCCCCTCCTCGGCGCGCCCGAGCCTCGCGCTGCTGTGCCACGCCGCGCGGTGCTCCGCTGCCGCGGGCCGCGCGCGGGCCTGCCACGGTGCGCTCTGAGGCGCGGCGCGCGGGGCGCGCGCGGGGCCGCCGCACCCGGGAGCCGCTTCCTCCTCCTCCTCCTCCTCCTCCTCCTCCTCCGTAGCCATTGTGGCGCAAGCGGAGTTTGCTGTATAGCCCTGTTTTTTTTTTTTTTTTTTCTTTTAGAGTTCTAATCGGGTTGGCATGTCGTCCAAGATGGATGTGCGCGAGTTGGTCTCGTCATTGCGTGCTCAGCTGTTGCGGGGGCTGGCGCATAGCCAGGGCATGCATTTCCAAGGTCTGTCCGCGGCGGCACGATCTGCGAAGAATCTGGCGCCCAAGCAGCGTAACAAGATTATCAAGATTGACTTTGCGTACCATCTTTGCGAGCACATCACGCAGCAGAGTGTTTCTGATTTTATATCTGAAGTTTTTGGCGCGGAGTATCCAGCTGACCCTTGTCCACTTACGTCCCCTGAGGTGGTGGTCCCTCGCTTTCGCTCTCGCCCGCAGGGTCGCGCGTTAGACCCGACAGCTGCCGACTTTGTCCCACTCCATTATGTTCGAAGTGAGGGCGCCCGCGCTCCAGCACAACCGGCCTCGTATCAGGCCCTTTGGTCCGTGCCGGAGGCTCTGGCGTCTGCACAGTGCTTGTATGATTCACAACTTTCTGCCTTTTCTGGGTTAGTGGAGTCTCAGAATCAAACTATTGCGAAGCTTCAGGGTATTTTGGACAAACTTGGCGTTCCTCCTCGTCCCCAGGAGCCCTCGGAGTCTGATTCCTTCCATGCGGATTCGTCTTCCGAGTCGCCCAGTACGAGGCCCTCGGATGACGGCACGGGACCCCAGCACCCGCGTCTGGAGTCCATCCAGCGGCAGATAGACGGCATGGCGACCAGCATGGATGCAAAGATTTCTTCCTCTGTTTCTTCTGCGATGTCCGAGGTCGCGCGCGGGTTTCCCGCCTTGCTGCGGGAGTTGACCCAGGATCTTGGGACGAAGATCATGGAGACTGCGGCGCCAAAGCTGCTGGAGCTTCTGATGCCTATTTTGGAGGGTCGTCTTCTGAAGGTGATGGACGTCGTTGGCATTTTACAAGCAAGGCTGCAGGAGCTGGAGAAGCGCTCTCCTCTAGCAGAGGGTTATTCGGACGACCTGGAGAGTTTGGCAGAGGAGGTCTCAGTTCTCGGCTCACGGCTGCAAGAGGTCGAAGGTTCTATTGCCAGCTTGCTTGACCCTGCTCGGCGGGGCCCTTGCTCTCCTGTCCGCAGCAATGTGTCCAAGGCGTCGTCAGCGAACATATTATGCAAGTTTGGATATGAGTGCAATCGCCCTGGAGGTTTTAGAACGGGTTGAGCAGAGGGGCCATACGTGTGATGTTGGGCAAAATGGAATATTCTGCCCGTTGTCTGATGTGCACTGCCAACACCCTGCTGCCTATCTCCGCTCAAGTTGTTTCTGGTCTGTAGCAGGCCTGATGGGCCCCCCGCCGGCCCTCATCAGTCATCTCCAGACCGCGGGCGTGCGCGCTCTGGAATTGCTGGCGCTGCGGCAGTCGATCATCTTGGGGGTGCCGCCGTGCCCCGCGGTGTCGCTGGCGTGCCCGCCGGCGAACCTGACCTGCCCGCCGCAGGTCTGCCCGGCGCTGACGTGCTCACCGCCGCCCTGCCCTCCTCCAGCGTGCCCGGCGCCGCTGGTCAACCTCTCCTGCCCGCCTGCAGGAGGGGTCGTGGGGGCCGGCGAGTTCGACCCATTCTCGGCGTACTGGGGAGGACTCGCAGGGATCGCGGCTGGGCTGGGGCTCGGCCGCGTCGCCCCACGCCGCGGGCGCGCTGCTGCCGCCGAAGGAGATGATGATCGCGCACCGTCCCCTGCCCCCGCTCGCCGCGGAGGGGGAGTGGTGCGCTAACTTGGCGGTCGGCACCCTGGTCCGTGTCTCCTACACCGGGGAGACCATGGACCACACGAGGGTCGTGCTGTGGCCCAGCCGCCGCCTGGACCAGAGGCGGCGGGTCCGGGGGCGGCACGCCTATTGGGTGCTCTCCGCGGACGGCGACGTCTGGGAGGAGGACCTGAGCGGGAGGAATGCGGCGACCGGGCCGTCGGGCGGGTCGCTGCTGGACCAGGCGACTGGGGATCCGCCCGACGGCCGCCGCCTCTATCGGTTCCGGGCGCGGCCCAGCCTGGACGAGGTCGTGGAGCTGGCGGCGGAGTGCCGAGCCACGATGCTCAGGCGTGGGCAGGCCGAGTCGGAGGCGCCGACGAGCGTGGTGCTGGCCGACGGGGCGGTGCGCCCCGGCCGCGACCACTTCCCGTGGCTCGAGGCCCCGCGCCCTTGGGTGCTGACGGAACCGCTCCCTGGCATGCCAATCGGGACCGTGGTGGATCCGCTCCCGGTGGGGGCGCTGCGCGACGGGAGCCGGGCCCTCGGCTTGCTGCCGAGCTGCGGCCGCTGGGCGAGGCTCGAGCAGGTGGACGAGGGCAAGATCGTCGAGTGGGCCGCCAAGAGGACGAAGGAGCTGGTGCTCGACCTCGGCGCGGGGCCCGACGCCATGGGCGCCGCGGAGCTGGTTGGCGGGACTGAGACCCCGCCGCTGGGGCGTGAGGCTCGCTCGGCCGGAGGCGACCACCTGGGCGAGAAGCTGGGGCTGGCCGCCGAGGAGCCCGCCGAGTCGGCCGCGGGGAAGGACGACGCCTACGGCGACGCGCGCACGCTGTGGGTCGACTGGGACGAGCAGGGCGAGCGCAGGAAGGAGTTCAAGCGAGCGGTGGCCGAGAGCTCGAATGTGAAGTGGGACCATCATCGGCTGCCCGCCGATCGCACTTGCCTTCACACGTGCAAGATGATGGTGAACTTGAGTGGGTCTCCACGCGCGTGGTTAGAGCGCTTTCTCAGGGAGAAGGGGATAGCTTCTACGGATCGAGTCGCGCACGAACTCCGAGTGTTGTGCGACATCTTGGAAGAAGCTGGCGAGTTTGACCAGATCAACCTCGGAGGACTGGCTTGCTTGGAAGTGGCCGCCCTCCGGCTGAACCTGCTGGTGGACGCGCACAAGACGAGCGGGTCGGCCTCGTACTCGAACGCGAAGTACCTCTCGCCGCTGACGGAGGTGGACCAGTTGATGGCTCCTGGCTTGCGGTCTCACGTGTCGAGGCGCGCCAAGGAGGAGTACGAGCTGATGCAGGGCGACAAGAAGGCCGAGGCGGTCGCTGCTGGCGCGGCTGGCGCGCGGGTTCCACCGCGCGAGGGGGCCGATGATGCGGCCAAAGGTGGCAAGGGCGGCGGCGGGGGCGGCCGGGGTAACAAGACCCGGGCGCGGGCCCTCGCGCCGCCCGTGCAGTCATGACGGACCAGTCTCAGCCGGCGGAGTGGGCCCCTGCCGGCTGGGCTAACACATTGGCCCGGCGAGCGCCGCTGGCCCTGGCGAGCGGGGATAGGGACCTCTTCCCCCTCCCTCGCCTGGCCAGGCCGCCCGCCAGCAGGGGCGGCAGCCGCGCCCGGATTGCTGGCGCTCGGCGGCGGCGCGAGCACGAATTGGCGAACGGCGCCATCGACTCTCTCAACTGGCTTGCTGGGTGGGAGCCTGCCGACGTGGGCCCGCCGCGCTCCCTGGACGCCATGGGGGGCAAGCATGCTGGGATCGTACAGTGGGTGGCCAGCGAAGCTCATCGGCGCCAAGCCGCAGCTCCCAACCCCTGTCCGTCCCAAGAGGCATCGCTGAGTGCGTTGCTCAAGGGGTGCTCGATCTACGACACGTCGGGCTCCCCGAGGAACCTGGCCTCCTTCGTCCGCGAGCGCGTGTCCTTGCCCCCTTCGGTTGTCGGCTGCCTCCAGGTGGACGACATCGTGGGCGAGGCCGGCCGCACCTACCTGAAGGAGAATCAAAAGCGTATGAGGCGGCCGATCGAGGAGATCGATTTTGACAACTTGCCGACTCCATATTTTGACCCGCTGCTGAAGCGGAACAAGAAGATGTACCACAACTTTTTGAAGGATCTCTCGTCCCGCGGGCTCTTGCTTGCCACCTTGTCTCCCGCAGAGCAGGCTGGCCTGTTCTTCGTGAAGAAGGCCGGCAGCGACAAGATGCGCATGATCGTGGACGCGCGTCGGGCGAACGCGTGGTTCGGCGTGCCCCCCAGCGTCCAGCTCCTGTCGTGCGAGGGGTTCGGCAGGGTGGAGGTGAAGCTCCCAGAGGGCGTCGCCTTCGGCTCGGCGCGGGGCGAGGAGCTGCTGAACGGCTTCAAGCTCTTCTTGGGCATGACGGACGTCAAGGACTGCTTCTACAGGATGCGCATCCCGGTGAGCCTGGCGAAGTTCTTCTCGCTGCCCGCCGCTCCAGCTCACGTCCTGGGCCTGGAGGGGCACGAGCTGGAGGGGACGAGGCTGGGCTGCGACACCCTCGTCTTCCCCTGCATCGGGGCTCTCCCCATGGGATTCTCTTGGTCCCTCTTCCTCGCCCAAGACGCGAACGAGGAGAGGGTCGTCCGGTCTGATCCGTGGCCAGGGGGAGACATGGCGGTCTCGGAGCGGGTCCTGATGAGCGATCGCGGACCTCCGCTCGTCGTGGAGGTTGAGCCCGGCCTGCACGGGGGAGCCTACGTGTACGTCGACAACATGGGGGTGCTCGCCCCCTCGGAGGGCCTCGCCAAGAGCGCCCTCGAGAGCTGGACTGGTCTCTTTGAGGGGGTCGGCCTGGACTTGCACAAGAGCTCGGTGGGCTCGGGCGCGTGCGAGGCGCTCGGGACCAAGCTTGACCTCGAGCTGATGAGGTCGGGCGTGAGCGACGGGCGGTTCTGGAAGGTGTACCTGGGGCTGGGGGGCCTGCTAGCCCGCGGCCGGGCGACAGGGCGCGCCTTGGAGGTGGTGCTGGGCCACTGCACCTTCTGCGGGCTGGCCCTCCGAGGGTCGCTGAGCTGCTGGCACGCCTCGTACCGCTTCATCCAGCGGCACTACCTGGAGCCTGCCCGCCTGTGGGCAGAAGTCGTGAAGGAGATCAAGATGTTCCGCGGGCTGCTCACCCTGATGGTTCAGGACTGGTGGCGGCCATGGAACTGCTGCGTGCTCCAGACCGACGCGAGCGAGAGCGGCTGGGGCATGGCGCAGTCGTTCTGGCCGCAGCACGTGGTGGAGCAGGTCGGCCGGCTGCCTGAGCGAGCCCGCTTCCGTTCGGCGCTGGGCAGGCCGGCGCGAGAGAGCGCGCTCGCTGCCGCCAACCTTGCTCGGGACAGCTCGGGCGCCTTGTGCAGTTTTGAGGATATGAAGAATCCTGACTCTCTCGCGTCTGACCTCCTGTCCTCGTGGGAGCTCGACCCCGGGTTCGCTGAGGTGCCCTGGCAGTGGCTCCGAAAGGGGGCCTGGGAGACCGTCCGGTCCGGGGTCTGGCGTTTTGCTGAGGACATCCTGATCCTTGAAGCCAGGGCCCTCGTAAAATCGATCCAGCGGCTGGCAAAGACCGCGCACGGGGTCTGTGTGCGACAGCTCTTTCTGTCCGACAATATGTCTGTGGTACTATCCTTTTCCAGGGCTCGTTCGTCCCGCTTCAGCTTACTGGTTCAGATCCGTCGATTCTATGCCTATGCAATTGCGTTGGGGCTTACGCCCGCTATTCGATGGATCCCCTCGGAGTTTAATGAAAGCGATGAAGGCAGCAGGGTTTTTTCTGAGAGCGACAGTAATATTCTCACATCTCTCCTTGATGAGAAGTTCCAGGCCGGTTTGGATCTGCTCACCCGTCCTCCAAGAGCCGTCCCTGTGAAAGACAATACGCGGGATCCTCTCCGTAGCCGTTTTTGCTCAAACCATTCTCGCTTGGCTGGGGTTCCCGAGGCTCCCGACTTGCCAGAACCGGCGGGCCATGGCCCCCGAGAGGGCTCGGGTGCTGGCCGGGCCGGCGCCGCGGGCGCGGACGCCCCCTCTGCGGGCGGGCGCTCGGCGGCCGGCCGCGCGGACTCGTGCGCTGACGGCCGTGGCAGCGCCGGCGGGCTCGCGCTCGGACCCGAGCGGCGCCAGGGCGATCGCCAGCCCCGGGGCGCTGGGCCGGGCGCGGATACTGGCGCCGGCCCCCCTCTTGCCTTCAAAGAAGAGGGCCAGCCAGGCCGGGCGGCATCTCTCGGCCCTCGACGAGAGGGACGCGAACGGGCTGGACCTCGCTGGAGACGCCGGGGAGGACGCCGAGGGCGACAGCAGCTCCAGCGGCTCCGACTCGGTGGTGGAGCAGCTGGGGCGGACTCGGGCCCGAATGCGGCAGCTGCGCGCGCGGAGGGCGCACCGGCGGGCGAAGCTGTACGCCGATGCTATCCTGGCGGCGCAGGGCGAGGGCGTGAGCCTCTTGGAGACCCTGGCGGTGACCCAGGCGACGCAGGTGAGGTACCAGCGATATCTCGATCGTTTCTACTCGCGTGCCGGCCTGAGCCGGAGGCAGATCCTGGCGAAGCCGGACACGGAGATCGACGAGCTCATGTGCAACTACATGACCGAGAACTACTTGCAGGGCGAGCAGAGCAACTACGGAGACCAGACGGTCGCAGCCTGGGTCAGCGCGAACCCGGACTTCGGGCGCGTGGGAGGTCGCAAGCTGCCGCGGACGTGGCGGGCGCTGAAGGCCTGGCGCCGGCTGACCCCGGGCAGGCGGCGGAAGGCCCTTGCCCTTCCGGTCTGGTGCGGGCTGGCTTGGAGGCTGGCGCAGCGGGGACACCTACGCCTGGGCATCTTCTTGATGATAGGCGTATCGATATATGGTCGGCCCTCGACCTTGCTGGCCGCCCGGCGGTGCGACCTTGTGCCACCGTCGCCTGGTGTCAGCAGGCACTGGGCCCTGTTGACCCACCCGCTGGAGCGGAAGAGGCCCAGCAAACGTGGGCACTTCGACGAGGGCTGCCCCCTGGACTCGCCGTACCTCCAGGGCTTGGACGAGGTGTTCGAGCGGCTGGCCTCGACGGCGTCGAAGGAACCGCTGTGGAACTTCAGCTACCCCGAGGCAGCGACGTTGCTCAAGGAGGCGGCGGAGGACCTCGGGGTGGCCCCGGTGACATTGTACCAGATGAGACATTCGGGCGCCAGCATCGACTTGGCGAAAGGCTGGCGCAGTCTGACCTCGGCGCAGCGACGCGGGGAGTGGACGCAGGCGAAGTCAATGCACCGCTACGAGCACAGCAGCAGGCTCGGCAGCGACTATGCGAAGCTCGACCCCCGGCTGCGCGCGACGTGCGAGGAGGCGGAGAGGCAGCTGGCGCTCATCCTGACGGGCCGGCCCCACAACGTGCAGATGTGGCGCATGTGAGCCAGCTGCACCTTGGATACCGTGGAGGCCGATCTCGTGGCCGCCTTCGCCGCTCGCGCCTCGGCAAGGGCCAGTACCTCGGCGATCTCTTCGCAGGCTGCCGGGCGGTGTCTCTGGCGGCCGAAGCCGAGGGCTTCCGGGCGAGAAGTTGGGACGTCATCTATGATGCAGAATGGCAAGACTTGTTGTCGCCGGCCGTGCTGCGGGCGATCAAAGCTGACGCTCGAGCTGGCCGACTGGTGGCCGCAACAATGGCCCCTCCGTGCCAGACTTTTTCCCTCGCGCACGACAGGTCGAGACCTGTGCGCAGCCGCGAGAAGCCATGGGGCTTCCCCGCCTCCGAGCTGACGCCTGCCGATGCCGAAGCAGTGGAATTAGGCAACCGCCTCGCTCGGGTTGCTCTTTCTCTCTTCAGGTTCTTTTTGAAACTGGGGGTTCCCGTAATCCTCGAACATCCCTTGACGAGCCGGCTGTGGCATACTGCTGAGGTGTGCGACTTATCGCACCATAAACATGTCTCTCTTGTTGAACTGGACCAGTGTCAGTATGGAGCAAGATGGAAAAAGCCCACACGGCTCCTCTGTGCACACGTGAATCAGGAAGATATAATTAAGCTCACCCGTCGATGCCGACCAAAGGGCTGTATATGTTCTAGGACTGGGAAACCCCATTGGCAACTCAGCGGCGGGGGGCCAGGTGGCCTCCGCCGCACCCGCATTGCTTCAGAATACCCTCCTGGTCTGGCACGGGCAATGGTCTCGACCCTCTTAGCTAGTACTGTTGAAAAGCGAGCTTGTCACTCCCACCCTTTCTCTCCCCACCCTAGCGAACATCCAACCTGGATAGCTTCGGGATGATTTGGGAGAAGGAGTTTAAAGGCATGCCTTTAAGCTCAAAGCCTCTGGCCATGACGAGTCCAGAGTTTCGCTAGATTCAGTCTCCGCAAGAAAAATGGGACCGTTGCTCTGGAGGTTTTAGAACGGGTTGAGCAGAGGGGCCATACGTGTGATGTTGGGCAAAATGGAATATTCTGCCCGTTGTCTGATGTGCACTGCCAACACCCTGCTGCCTATCTCCGCTCAAGTTGTTTCTGGTCTCCCGCCCCCCCAACCCTCGGGGAGAAGGAGTTTTAAGGCATGCCTTTAAGCTCAAAGCCTCTGGCCATGACGAGTCCAGAGTTTCGCTAGGTTCAGTCTCCGCAAGAAAAATGGGACCGTTGCTCCAACTGTACCTTCTCCCATCCTAGGGGGCGGAAGATCGACGGCAAGGAGCCGCAGCGCATAGAGCCAGCTGCCAAACCTATTGATTATGCTAGATTCGATGCGATCAACGATGCCTTTGATGCTGAGGAGCTCGTCGGCCATCTGTCGGGGGCATTGCGGCTTCCGCCTGAACCAGAGGATGGCGACAATGATGTGTATGGTGGTGAGTTGTTGGTCGGCCAGGGCGTGGCTCACTGGCACCCGCCTGAACCTGACATCGACTGATACCATTTCCACGTCTTATAGTTTATCGCGACGACTTCGCCGAGCCGGTTCTTTCATCAGCTACTCGCCCCTGCTCTTCCTCTCCATCGTCTATTTCGTCGCTTGCGAGGTTATTATGTAAGGGGCTGCCGCCCACTCCCACCCCTCGTCTCGGCGAGGTGCGGATTCTAAAGTTGTCAGACAGACCTCTCGGCTACGCTCCACCTCCTCCTCCTCCTCCTCCTCCTCCTCCTCCTCCTCCTCCTCCTCCTCCTCCTCCTCCTCCGTCTCCTCCTCCCCCTCCTCCCCCTCCTCCCCCTCCACAATTACACAATATGAAAATACTCTCCCACTTCCCCTGATGGCGTCCCGAAGATATCCGACACCCCCCCCCGCGTATTGTTTTTTTACACCCAGGATTCCCGGGAAACGGGTTTTCGCTTGTGTTTTTTCAAAATGCTGCTCTCGCTGAGGCGCCGGCCTCATTTCTGCTCCCGAATCGTTCCGAATCGTGCTCCCGCTGCAGCGTGGGCCTCATTTTCGGATCGGTGTTTGGCCTCCGTCGTTCAGGATGGCGTTCTCGCCCCAGCGCGGGCCTCTTTCTCGCGCGCCCATCCGCCCGCCACCACCGCGCCGCACCACCACCACCACCACCACCACCACCACCACCACAACCACCACCAGCACCACCACCCACCACCACCACCACACCACCCACCCACCACCACCACCACCACCACCACCACCACCACCACCACCACCACCACCACCACCACCACCACCACCACCACACAACCACGCACACACGCACGCACGCACGCACGCACGCGCACCACCACCCACTACGCACGCGCGCGCGGAGCCACAAGTCCGCTACGACACGCGTCCGCGGATAGAGAAAATCAGCGCCATGGTAAGGGATGGGAGGGAGGGGTAGGACGTCAGATATGACGCGAGCGCACCTAGCTTGTCCTCCTCCTCCTCCCTCCCTCCCTCCCTCCCTCCCTCCGAAGCGCGCGCCAGAAAGGCGCCTAGCCCTTGGCGCTGCTCGCGCAGAGCGGGAGCGGGGCCCCTGCCCCAGCCGCCACCGCCCCTCTCGGAGGCGACGAAACTACCCGCCACAGACATCTGTACACGGACGCCCTCCGGTGGGCTGTTCCTGGGCCAGCGACCTTCTGCACCGCCCTCCGCCCTGAAGGTACATGCAAAGCTCGTCGGAGGGTGTCTGTGTATATACGCACATGTACTGGTATATGTACCGGTAAATGTATGTGTATATGTATTTGTATCTGTATAGGTACACAGATAGGTATGAATTTCTGTATGTGTGTATATAGATGTGTGGTTGTACGAATACAAAGCACAGAAAACTGATCCGACTAGGCTCCTGGCCTGGTGGGGGCCGCTGGGGCCGGAGCGCCCCTGGAGGGCCTGAGACGGCCTCAGATGGCCCCCAGAGGGCCCCAAGACGGGCCAACAGGGCTCCAAGGCGCCCAAAATGGCCCCAAGACGGCCCAAGAGGCCCCCCAGACGCCCCAAGAGAGCTCCAAGAGACTCTCAAGAGAGCCCCAAGAGGCCCAAACCGTCCAATTCCCAAAGGACAACTTATTTTTGTAGCATAGTTATACGACTGTTGTACTTTCCGACGCTCCAAGACGGCCCAAGACGCCCCCCAGACCGCCACAAAAGCGGCCCAAGAGGCCCCCAGGACGCCCCCACGCCGGCCCAAGAGGGCTCTAAGATTGCCCAAGAGGCGCCCAAGACGGCCCAAGAGAGCCCCAAGACGGCCTCCGATACCGCCAGCAGGCCCAACAAGCCCCAAGGGGCACCCAAGAGGCTCAGAAGAGGCTCCGAAAGGCTTCCAAACGGCCCCCAAGACGCCCCAGAAGGCGTCCTGGAAGGCCCCAGTAGCTCTAACCTCGAAGCTCACAAAGGACCGCGCGCCATAGCCGCCCCCCCGATCATGTACCGAACCGAGGAACCAATTAGTACGACGACAGGAAGAGATTTTCTCTCTCTCTCTCTCTCTCTTTCTTTCTTTCTCTCGCTCTCTCTCTCTCTCTCTGCATATATACACATATATGTATGTATGTATGTATGTATGTATTTGTATATGTATGTAGGTATGTAGGTATGCATGTATGTATGTATGTATGTGTATGTATGTATGTATGTATGTATGTATGTATATATATATGTATGTATGTATGTATGTATGTATGTATGTATGTATGTATGTGTGTGTACATGCATGTATATATGTATGTATGTATGTATGTATGTATGTATGTATGCATGTATGGATGTATGTATGTATGTGTGTATGTATGTATGGATGTATGTATGTATGTATGTATGTATGTATGTATGTATGTATGTATGTATGTGTGTGTGTATGTATGTATGTATGTATGTATGCATGCATGCATGTATGTATGTATGTATGTATGTATGTATGTATGTATGTGTGAATGTATGCATGTATGTATGTATGTATGTATGTGTGCATGTTTGTATGAATGTATGCATGTATGTATGTATGTATGCATGCATGCATGCATGTATGTATGTATGTATGTATGTGTGTGTATGTATGTATGTATGTATGTATGTATGTATGTATGTATGTACGTATGTACGTACGTACGTACGTACGTATGTATGCATGTATGTATGTATGTATGTATGTATGTATGTCGGCGGTGCCCCGTGGCACGACCCCCCCCGCCTTCCCGGGGGGCTTCGTACAGGGCGCACCGGGTGCCGCCGACGACCTGGAACTCCCCCTCTCCCTCTTTCCCGGGGGGTTTTGTACCGGGCGCACAGGCCCCCTTCCCCCCTGTGGTAGTGGGGTGGGGGGCTCCTGTGGGAGTGGTGGGGGGGCTCCTGTGGGGGCGGGGGGGTGCTGCGTGGGAGCGAGGGGGATGTGTCTTTGGTGAGTGGGCGTGGGGTGGGAGGGAGGACTAGATGGATGAATGGAGGTACGGATGGATAGACGGTTTGACGGACGGATATGAGATAGATGGTCCAGGGTCTGGCCCCCCCCCTCATGCTGATGCCATCGGGCCCACCCCCCCGCGCGATGGGCCCCCCCCCCACTGTGGGCGTGGCGTGGTGGCCCCCCCGCCCCCCCTGTGGGCGTGGGGTGGTGGTGGTGGTGGTGGTGGTGGTGGTGGTGGTGGTGGTGGTGGTGGTGGTGGTGGTGGTGGTGGTGGTGGTGGTGGTGGTGGTGGTGGTCGTCCTCGTGGTCGTCGTCGTCGTCGTCGTCGTCGTCGTCGTCGTCGTCGTCGTCGTCGTCGTTGTAGTCGTAGTCGTAGTCGTAGTCGTAGTCGTAGTCGTAGTCGTAGTCGTGCTCGTCGTCGTCGTCGTCAGCGTCGTTGTCGCGGTGAGGAGTGCGATGGAGTGAGGATGAGTCGGGAAGAGTGCCGAGGAGGGCGATGGAGTGGGGAGGAGTCTGGGGTAACTGGGAGGAGAGCCGCGGAGTGCGATGGAGTGGGGAGGAGCTTGGAGGAGCGGGGGGGGGTACTGAGGATTGCGATAGAGTGGGGAGGAGGCGGGAAGAGTGCCGAGGAGGGCCGAAGACTGCGGTGGAGTGGGGAAGAGTCGGGAGGAGCGGTGAGGATTGCCGAGGAGTTCGACGGAGTGGGGAGGAGTTGGAGTAGGGGTGGGGAGCCCCAGGGAGACCCGGGGGATTGCGGAAAGCCGGCCCCCTACTTCCGGGAAGCTCCGAGAACGTCCGGCCCCTACTTCCGGGAAGCTTCTGGGGCTGCGGGGGCCTCCGGGGATCTTTGGATGTCGTCGCCGACGCCGCCGCCGACGCCGCCGCTGGACGCTCGAACGCGCTGCCCGGGCGCTGCCCCACGCTCTGGCCATCCCTGGGGCTTTTGTACCCGGGCGCACCGGCGGGCCGTACATAACCAAATCATTTGGTTACGCTCGAAAGGGTTGCGCGTAACCAAAACGCGAAGAATATGGTTACGAGCGACCCCTCACACACTTGAGCTATCAAAATGCATTGAACAGTCCCGTAACCAAAATCGTTCCGGAACGATGCTCGCATAAGCAATTCGTAACCATATTTACAATGTGCGTAACCAAATCATAACCAAACTACATTATGCGTAACCAAATCATAACCAAATCGTAACCAAATCATAACCAAACCGTAGTTGAGTATATCGAAACGACCATGTTCGACATTGCCGATGGCGCTGAAGAAGGGGGCGGGCGAAGCAGGAGGGAGTCTGCCCAAGCCCAAGCTGGTACACTGTGGTTTCCATAATGCTGGCTAAAGACCTCAGAAACAGCCCCAAGTGTTGGCTTGGCGTGGCCACGGAGCCTCCAACATACGCCCCTGACGTTGCGAAATCAATGGATATGCAGTGTGCCTGTCAGGCAGATGTTCGCTGTATCGCCTAATTACTCGCCGCCGATGGGCCTTTGATGCCCCAAGATGTTGCAAGAGATGGCTGAACGTCCCCCCCCCCCCGAACAAATAATAAGAAACACGCATGAATAAGGAGAGGGAGTCCTCCTCCTCCTTCTCCTCCTCATCCTCGTCCTCCTGCAGTCTTCTGTCTTCCTCGTCCTACTCCTCCTCCGTGCCCCATAAGGAGCTACATCTATGGCCCCACTGGGTGCTTCCGCATGGCGCCGTCATCCCCATTTCAGCATACACGTCACAGTGATCATACACCGTTCGGAGGTCCACCTATGCCCCGAGCGGGTGCGTCCGCATGCAGCCATCGCCGTGTCGGCATTCCCCTCTCGAGGATCGTGCCTCACAGGGAGCTCTACATATGGCACCAACAGGTGCGTCCTCATGAGGATCGTGCCTCATAGGGGAACTCCAACTATGGCCCCAGCAGGTGTGTCCCGATGGCGCCGCCGTCCCCGTGTCGGCACACTTTTCATTAAGGATCGCGCCCTTCATGGGTCTCTACCTATGGCCCCAACCAGTGCGTCCGCATGGCGCCGCCGCTACCAAATCTGCCCCCTAGGGCGTTCCACTGGGAATTATTCCGCGTATACGCTTTCCCCGCCAATTGCGGCACAACCCTCACGCGAGACGTGCCAAATGGGAACCCTCACTTGGCCCACTGGTTGTGCTGGCATGGCGTCCCTGTCCATTTCGGCACACCCCTCACGCGGAGCGTGCCCGTCAGGGAATTCCACCAATGGGCTGAATGGAGGTGTTCGCACGGCGCTGCCGCCCCCATTTCGGCACACCCCTTACGTGAATCGTCTCCTCTGGGGCCTCCACTTCTTGCCCTGTTGGGCGTGACCACATGTGCTCACCGTCGATTTCAGCACTTTCCTCACAAGTATCATGCCCCACAGGGAGTTCGGCGCTCTCCTGCCCACCTCTTCGGCAGCTCCCGATCCTGACTGCCCTGCGGCGCGCATCGTAAAAAGAACATGCCGTGCTCCACGCCACATGCAGCTGCATCAGGCCTGGCTCTTCGCAACACTAACAATTCAGCTGCCTTCGGCAAGTCCCGCCACCGCATCTGTGTTGTGGGCTATAGGCCTCCAGGGGCTTCACTTTGGCCTCTGGGGGGGGGCCTCTTGGGGGTCTTTTGGGGCTTCCTGGAGGCATCTTTGGGCCTCCTGGGGTATTGCAGGGGCTTTGCAGGGTATGGTCTTTGCATGGTGGCCTTTGCATGGTCTTTGCAGGGGGGGCGGTGCAGTCGCCGGTCCGCGTCCCGCGGAGGGGGTCCCTTTACAAGACTACAGAATACAGAAACCCTGCCAGACAGCACTTGGGCACATCATCCGTTCCCACGACGGACCCCATGTATTCAAATCGTGACCAAATCGTAACCATAATGGAACGTAATCAAATCGTAACCAAATGTGATATAGCGTAACCAAATCGTAACCAAACTTGAGCTCTTCATCACCAAATCACAACCAAACCACACTTCGTAATCAATTTCCGCGCAACCAAATCAAAACAATGCACCCCTCTCATACAAAATTGGTCCAACAAGAGGACGATTTGGTGACGCACGTGCACGCAACAAACCATTGCAAATTACAATACTTTGGGCGCTTGATTTGGTTACGACGTCTTGTCTTCTTGG